CTTAAAAGGAAAATGTATGACCAAACTGATGAAAGTTTGTATCAGAAACAATCAATTCATAGATTCTCGAAAATGTACAAGCACTGAAACTTTGGACAAGAGTAAGAAAACACTAGCTGATACTTGTGTTTCGATGTTGGCATTTAACCAATAAAAAACGGACAAAGTCTGCAGAAAATCGTTTGAGGTAATGAATGAAATGTTTATTTTCAATAGTTTTTGTATTTAAATTTAAGTATTAAGTGCTTATCAGCAAATTTTGTTTTCTCAGTTCTTTTGCATCTCACCAACCACCCTTCCCTTCTTGTTCTGTCATTCCCCTCCTATACCTAGTTCTTCCTAACCCCCCCTTCACTATCTCTCACCTAACCCCCCCATATTATCTCACTCTTACCTTTTTCCTATGTTTATTTTTGTTGGTACTCATGAGGATTTGAAGTCCCAACCTCTGGATATGTAGTACTCTTCCTTATTCACTTGACCATGCAAGCAATCATTGAAATTTACCCTATAATTCTCCACCTTATAATTTATTGGTCCCAGACTCACCATGGCCAAAAATTATTCACACATGCACAACCAACTTTGGTTCGTTCAGAAAAACATGGAGAGTTTTGTCCAAATGGCGGTGAAAATGGATAGTTGCGTAGCTGAAGAACTCTTCTACAAAAAACTTGAGTCAATGAAATCATCCAGACAGGGAAAAGCAAGTAATTTAACAGTATATCTAAGCCATGAGTTCTATGATAAAGCGAAAGCTTGACTTACTACAGAGAATTCCAAAGACATTGAAAGGCTTTCAATAAGCGACGTGGCAACAATAACATGTAAAAATTGGACCCTACAGCATGGAAAAATTGCTAATCCAGATGGAAAGTTTGTTATTCCAAAGCGTGATATTTTCAAGACATTATGTGAAGCTCACTCTGCCATAGTGCACAAGGGAAGAGACAAAACTGAACATTACGTACGTAAGTCATATGTGGAAATTTCACAAAAAGTAATAACACTTTTGGTTTCCCTATGTAAACTCCATCAACAGCAACGTAGTGTCACCAACCACGTGAAAAAACCGGTAATGAAACCCTTAATGGCCGATGGATTTTTGAAACACGTGGAAATTGATCTCATCAACTTCCGGAAGTTACCATGCACATGTAATGCCACACACAAATGGGTTCTTCACATTACAGATCACTCTAGCAAATTCACATGGCTTTATCCTTTGCATTCAAAGGAAACTGAAGAGGTGGTGGAGGCTCTGGAAAAGCAGTTTTGTCTGTTTAGTTTTCCAACAATTCTCCAGTCAGACAATGGAAGAGAATTTAAGAGCAAGAAGATGGCTGAATTCTGCAAAGTGCACAAGATAAAGCAAGTACACGGAGCCCCAAGAACCCCTACAACCCAGGGCCTTGTAGAGCACAATAACTGCACAGTCAAAGAAAACATGAAAAATATTATTACAGAGAAAAATGATGAAGAGGTAAACTGGTGTAAAATATTAAGTGAAGCAGCCTACAAGAAGAACATCGTTGTACACAGTGCAACATAAGTGCAGATGTCGAAAAACCGGGCAATGAAAGTACTCCAGTCACAGATTTTCGAAATCGAAATAAAAGGAAACATGACAAGAATGACACTCAGAGAAAGAAACTCAAAACTGATATAAATGAGAAACAGTTGAAGTATAAAGCAAAATGAAAGAGAGTAGAAAAAGAGGTCCAAAATTTCATGTTGATGAATATGTGTCAATTAAAATTGATCCAGCGGACAAAATTTCACCCCTTCATCGTAATGTTTTAATTGGCAAAATAACTGAAGTTGAAAATGATTAAACCAAAATCGTGACCAAGTTTGGAAGGCTGAAAACTTATATTTCCACAAACAGGTTAAATAAATGTACAACAACAAACATTCAGCTGGACTTTAGTACAGAAACAACATTTTCTAATGCAATGCAGAAAGGCTGCAGAACAGTAATGTAATGACATATAATTACTATGCAAAATTCACCAAAAAATAAATGACTAAAAACTAGTTGTATTTGTGAAAATTCCTGGTGTCCACAGATTACCTTGAATAAATGCTTACTGCAAGGAGTGAATTTAAATACAAACTAAGTGGTCTATCCAGTGCAATTTCCAAATGTCTTTGAGAAAGAACTGTCAATAAACTTAATTCCCACACAGGGCACTTTTGCTATTGTCGAAGATGCATGCTGTGTTCCTAAATATGTGCTTAACCCTATTAATAACTAAAATGTGTGCGGTAACCCGACACATATGCTGTTCCTGGGGGTACGAGGGGGCTGTCCGACCATATAATAAGATGTTTTATGTTTTGCCCTTGCGATTTGGTTATGGTCTGCGCGTACGCAGGAGTGAATGGATAATAGGTGACACAGCTATTGTTCATGAGATGCATCACAGGATAGACGAAGACCCTCTGTCCCTTGGGCAGTTCCAAGATGATAGTATTGTTTTGGGACGAGACGATGGAGGCTTCTTGGCCGTTTACCACGCAGGCCAATTTTCAGTAAAGATGACGTGCATGTGTCTGTAGGGAAAGGTGTTCTCTCAGTCAGCCAAAGAAGCACAGGGTGTTCTAGTGAGTGGTTGCTGCCATTCAAAAAGATGCTTGACGATGATGTTGTTGATGCGCTGCGCCCCACGTCTAAAGACGGTCATCACCGTAGAAGCCGGATGCTAGTCGGATGCATCCCATATTTGCTGATCTGTGAGAGGCCCTTCCGGACATAGCACAATGTCAGCCTACATTTCATCCAGTTGTTCTTGTGCGAGCTGCATGAAATGTATGATGTCCAGGAACTTGGCATACTGCCGGTCAACTGTGCGGAACTACTGATAGAGATAATGCTAGCGGGAGTTTTCTGAATGAAAGTTGGCATCATCTATAGTTGAAGCGGTGGTGGATATGCAACTGTCAATGGTCCACAACAGTTGCTGCCGATGTGTGTCTCAGGCGAAGACCACGACGGGATGGAGGTTGAGGCGGTCAAAGGTGGAGGCTATCACACCAAAAGTAGGTGGTGAGACCATGGATGCTTCATCAACTACCACGAGGTCGTATTTCTTGATGGTGTAGTTGATGTCATTGTTGTATGGGCCATCCACCGGGATGTTAAAGGCACTGTGCGAGGTGTCCATTGTGATATCGCAGAGAAAGATCTAATACCCTCGTACCCTTGAGCCAGCAGGGCCACTTGAGCAGCTACTAGAATGGACATTTCCTCTTCAATTACATAGTGAATGGCACAAAACAGGACTTGGGATTTGCAGGTACCAGGTTGCGCCAATTGGAGGTTTCCAGGGTATCTTCTTCAGAGGATTGTTCCTGGGTCTGCTATCTGGATGTCAGGGCAGTAGTGATGTTGTTTAAGATTGCTCTTTGGAGTGGCGAGAGAGGGTATCAGTTCTCCACCGGAATTGATGATAAGTCGCCTACTTCACCATTTACCACGCAGATCCTCCTCAGGTAGAGGATGTCGTGTAGGGACATGACGTAAGAGACGATGGTGTTGATGAAAAATTCTTTGTGCCCTTCATGTTCAAATTGGTCTGTGATGGTATCACCAGTTTGCCAGGTGTCTGGAGGGCAATGGCTTGTCAAAGAACTTTATGGTGGGTGGCATGCTTTCTTCTTCAAGAAGTCTCAATTCAGAAGGAGAATGATGAGGATGGTTCATTGTGAGATGCTAGTAGAAGAACATGGGATTGAATACTGACACGTACTTGACACCAACCAGGTATTTGTCTTGACTGTATGCCTTTGGTTTGGTCAAGGAGGTGTTGTGGCTGTGAAGCCATTGAAGGAGTGGCTTATCGTCCTAGTCTCAGGGAAGTAGGTCTTCAGGTTGCCTGTGTTGGGATGTGTGGCATTTGCAAAGACGTGGGTATTCCACCCGTTGCAATTTCCCCTGGTAAGGTATCCCCTTGCGATCTGCTCGAGGACATGGGCAATAAGAATGGTTTCCAGAATGGGCAACTCTGTAACATCTTTACCATACTGGTGGTGGTGCAGGTCTTCAAGGAATGATGGGAATGGTAAAGTCCATTCATAGGGGCTAATGGTAATGAAAAAGGATGGATAACCAAACTGCCTGACTGCGTCGATGAGATACAGATTTTGATGCTGCCAGTAGGTGTGCGAGAATGATTTGTTCCCCAGACTTCTGTTAGGGGAGCACCCAGATGCTTTTGAAGAATCATTTTGAACAGCCACCTGTCACACTGGTGATACAGCTGTTCAAAGCTCAAGGCGTAATCCAGCACGGGAGAGAGCACTTTGCACATGTAAGATATTTTGCTGCTTGCTCAGTTGGTTTGTTCCTCCAGCACGCTTTCGCCCATGACTGTGGTATGGTATAAAGATGGCCACAGAGCACACTCTATGCCATGGAAATCGCGAGCGGAGAAGATTTCATATAGGAAGGGGCAATGATAACCATTGATATGTATGCATGTGTATGAACTTGGCATAGGAGCTATCTTCCTTCTGCATGAGAAACTGGTAGACTTGGAGTAGTGTATGGTGGCAAGCAGGATCGTCTACCACGTCAATTTTTTCGGTCACCATTTGGCTTAGACCAATACTGATCCGAAGGGACCTGTTCACTGGCGATAGCCACTGAAGTGGCCTTTGTATTCCCCCAATGCATCTCCAAGGAACGTAGTACGCAGACCCCTACCTTCGTCAGATTGCCTAGAATCAGTGGCACATCCTCTATGCCACATTTACAGGCGTTGTGCAGGGGCGAGGGAGTCTTCCTTCTAAAGGCTGGCTGGAGTTTTAAAGTTTTTAATTTCTGGCATTTAGGACAGTATGTCCAGCTTTGGTATCAACAACAGAATTGCAGATCGCGCACTTCTTCCGTATGGATGATGGACTCTGCGGGGGAATCAGCAAGGTCATGTTGGCCCTTCAAGGTCTGCCGATTGATCTCATTGGTGTCTTCACGAAGTTCTTGTCTCTCTGATTTTCTAGCAGGTCGTGACGTTGCTGGCTAACAGGATAGTGCATAACAGTGTCCATATCTCACCGGTCCCAAAAGGTGGTCGCATGTTCAACTGACCAACCCGCCATGGCGCAACTAGTAAGGAACATGAGGCATCACTCAGCTTGTGAGGTGAGTATCAGCATGTGATATGTCAACAAAGAAGAAAAAGTGTAGTCCCACTAATGATGTGCACTACTTGCCCGTAACATTACGCAACACAGGTGTAGTCATAGGAAGGAGACAATGTCACATATTGTGGTAAAATGAGACAATAAGACGTTGTGACCACACTAACATTGCAAAATGGTTGACAAATATAGCATACAATTAGTGGAATCACACTCATATGGCACTGTAACCATGAAAGACAAGCACTGTTTAAAGAAATTGACATATCCGACATTGAGGTCAGTACTAGTTTTTGTCAAACATTGGTCTCAACTGTCATGATGTCTTTAAACAGTATCCAATGTGCTAATCTTGCAAGGTTACAGCAATCCACATGTAAAAAACAAACAGCGTAAATTGCAAACAGCAATTGCGGAAACAACGCAGCCCAAATTGTCCAACGGTAATCAACGCAGATATTTCGTTAAAATTTACAGCATTGTACTTACAGCAAAGTGACTGTTGCAATACACAATTGCAAGAAAGACAAATGCAAGTGACAATCAAAGACATTCAATACACAACCATCAATGGCACACGTGCATCTGACATATCAACAGTCAATTACATCAGAAGTATGTACCTGGAAGGTAACTGAACAAAGTTGTATGTCTAACCCTCAACGGCATATGAAGCCATGAAGTATGCGCATTAAAAGACATAACAGATGCATACCCACAAGGTAGCCCAGTGACGCTACTGGCCTGTCTTAGAAATAAGCAGTCATATCTAAGACATTGTTCGCACCTTGAAACTGACAAAACAAGAGGAAAATAACTTACTGTGAATAAACTTGGGTCCTTTGGGAAACAACAGAGATTTCCAAAATGACATAATATCGAGGACAAGACAGTGATATGAGCAAACCAGATTTCCAAAGAATAACTACAGTGCAAGAAAAGAACAATATCAATACAGTGTTGTGGAAAACAGCCAGAAAAAACGCCACTGAGAAGACAAAAAAAGAAAGAAAATGTGAAATACTCACCGGAGAATTGAAGCAAATACTTGAGAACTTGAGAAGCAAATACTTCAGAAAATAGTAACAAAACAGGAATAAGACCTGAAAACCAATACGAGATATCACATAAGTATTGCTAAGAACAATTGTAGACTACAGTGAACTTGACCTGTTCATACAATGTACATCACACCACCTGATGTCCAAAACTTCTATTAAAAAAGTTCATGAAAACCTTTTGTTGATGTTTGGACATGGAAAAACTTAAAACTGAGTAAACATTCATGGTCCTTCGATGTCTGCATTATCTGCCATATTTGTTTTGAAGGAAAATTGGTACTCAGTCCCACGCTGCCAAATTTCTTAACTTGGGTGATCATGCAAACTCGGTTCCAGACCTCACTGCCAGCTAAAGATAAGCTAAAGTTTGTTATTTAACGCATTTCAAGTTCTTTGGGCTGTTTTCCTTGACATATACATTGTTGATAACTCTTCTCACATTGTGGGTGGCTCCTCCTAAAATGTTCTACAATAGAGAGGAGAAGTCCTTACGTCACATTCCCATGGTAGGAAAATTTTTGGATGACAACTAAACGATAAAGTCACTTGAAAGTCTATTTGCGCTATTTCAAACTTTACCAATCTTATTCAGTTTCATTTAATTTGGCAAATCTTGACAAAATTTTCTTTGGGACCGTATCTATCGTTATCTAAGTTTAGAAAAAGAAAGCGACAATTTTTGTGCCATGTTCACCTACTCCATAATGCGGGCTCGTGAAATAAGGAAATTTCATGTCGTAGTGGTGCAACGATGGCAAAGAAATGTACAAAATAGCATGATTCATGTGTAAAGTTGTTGCTTGTTAATATAAATATTTTATTTTTTTGCCGTTCTCCTTGCCATTGCCATCGTCATTGGTTTTGTTGTCATCCAGAAAAAGTGCTACCGTGGTAACATGATGCCACATTTCTCCTCTCCACTGGTTTAGGAATAAATGGAGCCGAAGCCAATCCTGGAATTGCACACATTTTAGGCATCCTACTGATGAACAGTTACAACTTTTAGATTTTTTAGACTTTTAGATATTTCAAGCAACAGCAATTTGCCATCAGTCCTCCTTAAACTGTATGTGGAAGATTCTTGTGACACAATAAGTTTTCTGATAAAACAATTTTTTGGAAGTAAGTACACATAATTCACCTTTTGTTGTTTTAAAGCTGAAAATAGAAGACGACCCACCAACAGGTCACTTAGAGTTTGGTATTTCTCATTGTTCAATAGTCCATAAAAGGGGTGACATCTCCCCGTGTATCTTGCATTATAACGCGTCTGAGGTTCTCCAGTGCTAAATCAAAGCAGTTTTGGCAACTTGACAACATCACACCAACAAGGTTAATTTCATGCTGGAAGAGAAAGCAACAGTTCACAACTGGGTATTTTCTGTCTTTCTTGGATATAGAGACTGATGCAAGTTTAATCATGATACCTAAGTGGAACCTTGATATGACAAAGGGCCAAGGGACTGACAAAATCTGTTCACTTTAAAGAGGTTTTGTTATGTCGCAGTTCTTTTCCATACATTTGACTATAACTGGGGCAAAAAATATAATTGTTTGTTATACCGAGGACTTCATCATATAAAGGTTCATGGTTCCACTGTAATCATTAAGGGACTTGCAAATTGCAACCTCTACTGCAGCGACCGGGAGCAAAAGAGCCCAAAAATGATGCACTGGGCAAGCTTGGAAATGACCTTGTGCCATAGTGCCAAATCCTACAACATGAAGACCTGTCTTGTGGCATAGTTGCTACGACAGTTTCCAGTAATTATGTGTTCCCTGCGTTTTACTAACAGTGAAAGCAAATGAGGGAGAAACTCCATAGTCACTGTTTGGGCACTGCTTACTTAAAGTTGAAATTTGGCAGGCTACGGTGACATACTCTCTCCAGGAGTCTGCATCCACAACTCCAACACCAGAGGTTGCTGTAAGAATTTGCTTACATCATTCTACATTAGCTGTGATACACAATAACACACTGAATTTTGCAAGGAAAATTATATGGCTTGAAGTTGTAACCAGATTAGGTTTACTTCTTCACTGTCTCAAAAGGAGACAACATTTTTGTTGGCTTAGATTGTTCTTTCTTTTTTCATTTCATTATGAAACGACAACAAAAGCTACGTTCATTTTTTTACGCAGAAGCAATGGTAGTTGAACCTGAAAACCATGAGGATGGACTGGATAAGGATGGCAGTAAAGCTGGAGTTCAATGAGTCAGCCTCCAGAATTTTAAGAGCCAACAATGATGTCAGTTGTTCAAAGTTCCAAAATCAAAGTTTGACCCAGACCATTTACAAAATGACCCAATTTAAAATGCCATGTGGGACGTATGACTAATTTCTAGATTGAACACTGTACAAGGAGACCAACCATATCAGACGCCAGCATCCAACCCTAAAAAGGGAGTTACATATTTAAGCAATATTGCCTTACCACCAGCAACTTGGGCATCAGTCCAGCACTGCAGAGATCCAAGCAGAGTGGTGATGTATGCCTGTGTATTTCTGTTCCTGTGTCCTCTGTGTATTGGAAATGAAGAAAAGTATGGCCATTGTCATCTGTCAAAAAGGAATCTGGACGGTCACAGACAGTTAAACTTGTGAGATTCATGTGCCCCAGACAAGGAAGACATCCCCTGCATTCCCCCAAGGTACGGAAGCATGTAGAAGATTGGTATGCATCACTGAGATGTCTTTAATCCACACCAATGAGAGCAGATGATGTTAGGTACAATGTGGCTTTATTTTAAAGCAGTCAGCTCCCTGGCATTCCCCAACACAGCTTTTGGTGCTTTGCTAGCTCTGTTCAGTTGATCACCCAGGACACTCTCCCACATACTTGTTCAGTAATATAAAGATGACCAGAGGGCACAATCCATGCCTTTGTTCTCAGGTCCTGAGAAGTAACAAAAATCAGTCAAGCAACAACTCATTCAGCCTGTCAGTAAATAAATCATTCAATCAGTACATCAATCTATCAAAACATGTCAGTAAATCAATCATTCAGTCACTAAATGAGTCAGACTGTTAGTAAAAATACAGTCAGGCAATAAAATTTTCAGTTTAGTTAAAGTTGAGATCCTCGTTTGATACTTGGTGGCACTTTTCTTTTTCTGTTGAAGGAATTTGCTAACCTTCATCTTTTTTATTTTGCTCTTAAAAAATTGTATTAAAAAAGTATGTGACACGTCAAGATTGAAATGCTAAGAACTAATGACAGTTTTAATTTTAAAAACGAGAACCATTAAGTGTGCTATTTTAAAAGACTTCATGAACCATGTAGTTAGACCCATTGCACACCGAAACAGGTCGAGGTTTTCTCAAGTTTTTTTTAATCGCTTTTTTATTATCGAAACACTATTTTTAGAAAGATATAAATATAGGAAATAGAACAAACATATTCCATTATAGAGTCATTAATTTTTTAGAATATTTGGAGACAAGTGACACTATAAACAAAGGAATGTAATATTCCTTAAACAAGAGTTAAAATAAAACCTTTGACAGCTTTGGATAACCTTGTCAAGTTCTCTATGATGGTTCTTCACTTGGTCTTTTTGACGAGGGTGCCATTTCAGCGCATGGTTCTGGCACATATGCTATCATGACGGAAACATGAAGTAGCTATGGCCACATGTGAGAGTCTGCTGATCTCGAAAGGCTCAAATCCATGATGATGATCAACGTTCGAGTGATCTTTATCGTAATTTAGCCTCTATGTGTACACACATGGATAATTCTTCAATTTAAGTGGTTTAAATCAGGTTTACAATGTTTGCAGTTAATGTACGTTGTATTTGTTTTTAAAAAGGCAAAGAAAAAAACTATTTTGGAACTGAAAATTTTTGAAGTCAAAGTGACTCCCTCTGTAACCTCAGTGGAGTCATCTTCGAAATTTTGGCTTAAAATATGCTAAATTTGGCATATTATTTGCGAACTCTGATCTTAAGCTCAAGTAAGGATTCACTTCAGAAAGCTGCATGTACTCTACAATATTGAAACTAGGGAGGATGGGAGGGGATACTGCGGCAAGATAATCATTGATTAATTAGCTTAATGCAACGAAAGGAATGTATAACTTGATAATAACGATATGGAGATCTGGGAATGACTAACTTTGCTTCCAGTGAGAAAATGCATAGCAGATGCAAAATAAGAAATCAGCAAGCAGCTTTCACTGTTTGGTGAAACAGGTTGTTTTGTTATACAAGACATTGTAAGGCAACAAAAGAAACTACAAGGAAGGTGGCTGTTTTTTGCACATCTGATTCTGGTAAAGTTAAGAGAAAATTATTAGGAAACTTTTTACCAGTAAGTTTTCTCACTGCCAAAAAAGTCACAGACCCAGATTTGGTTACTATTGCACACACTGGAAAATCAGTGTAATATCTAGGTGCCATTTTTGCACCAAGCCCTGTACAGTAAATACAGAATAGTTGTCAGGTTTCAAAATGTCATATGGACACTGACAAGTGCAGTTTCAATGCTGTGATGACATTGTAATAAAGTTGAAGTAAAAGTGACACTTAATTCACCTAAACGTGACATGTTAGTTCTAAGTTGATAAATAGTGATTATTACAGTCCAGAAATATGATTATTGCTGTGTAAGCTAGTGTGCACCCCTTAACTGCCAGGACTTTGTGCAGGATGAGTTGATTTCTCGGATCTAGCTGCACAGGATTTGCATAGCTAAATAGGGTGTAACAATGCATTACACTTAGGGTATTTACCAGAACGGAAACCACGTATATCCTCTTGTAATAGCTTTCTAATCATGTATAATTGCTTCCATCATGTATATAAGCACAGCGATTTACCAAATAAACATAGTAGTAGTCTGTGACAGCTGAGACCTCCTTGAGTCCTTGACCCAGTCATGAGTCAAGGCAATGACTAGAGCTTGTTTCTACACAAGTTGAGTCCGGTTCCTAACTCTGAAGTGCTGTTAACCCAAGAATTGACTGAGCGAAAGCAAACGCTCAACACTTATCCAAAGAACTTGATCACGTTATCATCCCATTTACAACAACATTAACACATTCATTGAAATACTACATAATATGGTACTACAAGAAAAATTTAAAAACTCATCAAAGCTTTCTAAATAATCGTAATAAACAACTAAATTTGTAGTATAGAGGTAGATAACACAAATTAAAAAATTGTCCTCTGAAAGTGCACGAGCTTACTGGCAATGAATAGTCTGTACAATTACCATATGCTTCCATTAATATAACAAAATTGTTCTTTAAGGCAGTCACGTTGTATAGGGACTTCTAATCAGCGCATGCAGTTTTTGTTACTGTTTGTTACCTGCTATAAGTGCAAGTCAAGTAATATATCAAACATGAGATGCAGTGTTTCATCACCAGATGAAACACCGAGAAGAGAGTTGAAAATACGATGCGCAGCGGAGTATTTTTGACGAACTTCGAGGTGTTTCATCTGGTGATGAAACACTGTGTCGAATGTTTGATATTTCTTCTCAAACAAAATCATTTTTGAAGGAGAAATTAAGGATGCAAATACTAAGCAGTGTTTCATCCGATTTCCAAACACTCATTAAACATTAATTTCCTTTGTATTTTCTTAATGAATTATTAATGAGTTTGAGAATGAGTTATCAAACCTAACTGTTTTGATCATGTCTGAAACAGTATCTGCCTAGTGCCTTTTGTTCCTTCCCTGTTCTTAGCAGGAGAGTATGCTTTGGAGGATTTTTCAATACTTTTTTGTGTGCCACATTAGATCTTTCACATAATTATCTTTCACCTTTGAAAGCCAGGACATAGGGTTATTGACTTCCAATGAGTGGCTGATTCCTGATTCCAACAGACCTTCGCTTCTGAAAGGGCTTCATAGTTGTTCCTTTATTTCTGTAAATATTTATTCAATTCAAGGCTTTAAGGTGGCTCCATGGGGTTTTTCAGGGTCAATAGGCTACGCTTATGGGCTTCTTCAACGCTTAATAGCTTCTTCAACAGTTGTGAAGTTTGAGCAAAATTTGTGCAAGCATTCTCAAGACATTTTGAGATGAAATTTTTATGGCTAGAAATACAGTTAAAACTGGACAATTTAATTTAATTTAAACAAACAAGTATTAATCCACCGGCCATTTTTGCATTGGGTCCACTGTATAATGGCAAAGCCTGTAGGATTTTGAATTGTAGTATCTAGGATAAATGCGAGCCTGAGTGGGATGTCATATTATTTTCCTTTCATTGTAGGGATTATTTTGTTTATGTCACATAATAGTTGACATAGCAAAATCAAAGGAGCAAAATCTAATAACTACCTAACTTACAAAGCCATTGTTTAACAAAGAACTCAGCAATCAACGTTTCAGGAAACCTTGTTACTACAGTCAAGAAATTCATGTTCCAAAGCTTATTTGAAAATATTCGCAAAACTCTAAACGTGCCAGTGCATGAGGTCAAAAGGAGTCACTTGGGCGTTACTCTATCCATCGATCATAAAAAATCAATGACCAAGTTACAGATTCAAATGTCAGTGGTGCTCTCATATAACTATTTATATATATATATTTTTAATTTCGTCCGTGATTGGAAGTGTTGTTAATATTGTGGTACAAATCATCGGTTTCTACTTGACGGCTACGAGTATGAAGTGCGTTCAGTATAAAAGAACTCATCCGTGATAACATGAATGAACATGAATATTGTTCGATGTATACTGGAAATTAGTTCAGATGCCTCAAATTACCAAATTTTAAATTCAAACGACCGGTAACATAAGTTTCAAAACGACTGATTTTTAACAAGTGCTTCCTTGGGCTTTTTTTAAAGTCGGGCGAGATGTGTCTGTGAGTTATGTTATTGATGTTATTGTAGCATGCTTGTTTCTGCTTGTTTTGACTCATGTTTTTAAGAACGAGTTATGTCTTATGTGTGGCGTGCTTGTTTTGACTCATGGCACGACTAGACTTCCGGAGATTGAGTTATGTTACATGTGTGTAGCATGCTTGTTTCGACTCATGGTTTTAAGAACGAGTTATGTTACATGTGTACAGTGCTTGTTTCGACTCACAGTTTTAAGAACGAGTAATGTCATATGTGACGTGCTTGTTTTGACTCATGGCACGACTAGACTTCCGGAGACTCCATCGGAATCGATGTGATTCCAGTGGATTCGATGGACTCCATCGGACGACTTCGAACCCCCCTCTCAAAGTATTTTTTACACTTCCGGTTTCATCTTATGACTAGACTTCCGGTAACTCGAGTGGACTCGACTGTACTTCCGGTTTCATTCTTCGACCAGACTCCATTGGACTCCAGGTTTTGTCCACTGGAATCCAGTCGAGAGTATTGGACATGTGTGTTGACCTCAAAACAAAAGGTTTTACAACACAGAAATCGTTTGGTGGCTCAGGTTGGAAGACTTTGCAGGTGCAGAGAGGCAATGACGGCAAATAAGTTTGCGCTTGCAGGCTAACTAACAAGGGGATCGATTGGAGTCTATGGCTTGGAATTGAAGGTGGGGAAATTCATGCCATTTTTTACTTTGTGTGGGAGAATTTACTGTTCTGAAACATCATGGACAGCAAACTTGGGAAACTCACAGGGATATACTGCTTTCTTAACACAAA